GGGACAGTTCGACCCCTTACCAGTTCGAACTTGTAACAGTTCGATTCTGTCCGCGTTCTGTTCTGGTACGTGTGCGAAAAAAGGACTGTTCTGAATTGAATTAGTTCGATTTTAGGTCTGTTCGAATTTGAAAACGTTCGAATTCGTCGTACCCCCAATGAGATTTTCATAGAAAATATGATCTCCAAGTGGCGCGCCAAAACACCACGCCGCAATTGGAAAGCGATGGGCGGAGCGTCGGTGGGGGAAGGCGGGAATCAAAGCACGCAAACACCGAGTCTCACTTTTTTTATTCCGACAATAGATCAGCAATTTTCATAGAATTTGGAATCGTTAGAATCAGCGAAAAATGACAAATTTAACGGTATTGATTTCATGGTAGTTGAATCAGGAGAAAATCAGAAAAATACTTTTTTTTCGAAATATTGCAAACACAGACTAGAGCATTTTCAACTATTTTTTGCGATTTTAGGCCAATTATTAAGACACTTTTAGACCAATTTTCACTTATATCGCTAATTAGAGGGAATTTCAGAGCCCGCCCTCTCCCACTCCACGTTCCAGAACCCCAAGACGTCGTCGCCGTGCCTCTCGACGAAGAAGCACTCCACGGAGAGCCTCTCTTCCCACCAGAGCTCACACTCCCCAGTGAAAAGGCTGCAGAGGAAGCAGCGAAAAAGAAGCTTCTCGAAACTCAAAAACCACAAAATCCGTTCGCCGATGTGGATGAGCAACGAGTGGATACTGTGGATTGGCCATCGCCAGTTTCGGCGATGAGCACAATGGACGAGGAAGTTCCGGGGAAGAATATGGTTCTGGGTTCGTTTTCAACTTTTTTACCAGTAAAAATTGTTCATGCGCCTTTAATACCGTAGTTTAAACTCTTTCATATTCAATTTGGCTAATTTTTCACCGATTTTCTGATATTTTTCTAAAAATATCTCAAAAAATCGCGAAAAAACCAAATAAAATTATAAATATCGGGTTACTGTATAGTTTAACGGCACATGAGTTTATGAAAAAAGTTTTTGAAAAACAAATTGTACTATGCGCATTTAATACCGTAGCCCAAACATTTTCATAAGTATTTTGGCCTATTTTTCACCAATTTTCGCCAATTTTTTGCAGTTTTTCGCTAGTTTTTTTTCACAAGTTCATTCGAAAAAATCGGTGAAAAAGACTCACGAATTTCAAAAATTTTGGGTTACGGTATTAAAGGCGCATGGTCTAATAAAATATCAAATTGCGACTTTCGGCCGAAACTTCGAAAAAAAAACCCCCAATTTCCCTACGATTCTCGATGAAAACGGAGAAAACCCCCTTTCTTTTTTCAAGAAGACGATTCCCTACACACGATGATAGTGGACGAGGCTCGTGAGAAGGAGATGCAACCGTTTGAAGCGGCGAAAATAGCGATTGGAGCGAACGACCGGCCGAAAAGTCCATTCCGATCACGACGCATTCTGGCGGAGCGGATTTGAGAAGCTCTCGGAGAGCTTTTAAGAATAATTTATTTGAAATTTAAAGTTTAAGCTAAAACATGTAAATAAATAAATAAGAGATCTTAATTATCATTTGTAGTCGGTTTCCGATACCAGAATCTCGCACGATGATCGTCACTTCCAGTCATAAAAGCGGGCATTGAGGGGGAATGAACGAAGGTTCGGCAGGCTGAGGTGTGGCCCAGGGCTAGAAGACGTTTACGATCGGCGTTGCGAGCTTCCCAGGAACACATGCTGCCACTTTTCTCGTCCGGGAAGAGGACTGAAAGATTTCAGAGTACAGAAATTAGAATAGCTGGGCATCATGCTTACCGAAATCTTCATTCTGATTGAATGACGCGCTAGTCGGATAGTCTTGTGCTCCAGTTGCTCCTGCTCCAGTGTACACAATCAGACAGCGATTGGTACTCAATTCCCACAGCTTCACAATACTATCCATTCCACTAGTCAGAATATATTTTCCATTCTTGGTAAACTTCGCCGAGCAAATCGATGAGCCATCGTGTGCCCGTTTGAATGTCTCCACACATCTACTCGACACACCATCCCACACCTTGACGTCTCCATCCTTTGAAGCTGTTACGTAGAGACGAGCGTTTTCGGAATAGTGAACGTCGGTGACCGATTCGCGGTGCTGGTCATCGGGATTGGCGGACGCGTAGGCTTGAGCGGTTTCGATGTTGTAGAGACGGACGGTCGGGTGATCGGTGGCGACGAGAAGGAATTCACCGCCAGGGTGGCACGAGAGAGCACGGACAGGGTAAACCTCCTGGCAAAAAATTGGGTAGAATTTGATTTTTTTATTTTAGGTCAAATTGGACCAATTTTCCTCTTGAAACTGATTTTCTAACTTCTTCGCGTCTAAAGTGATCAAAACCTGGAATTTCTGGGCCCAGAAATCTCAGATTTTGAGCGCTTTGGACTGCAATTCCAGCAAATTTTCAGTTTCGACAATCAACTTACCGATAACGTCTTCATAGCTCTTTTCACAGCTGTCTTTGAAAAATCGAACAATTTCACTGTTTTATCATTCGATCCAGAAATTAAAATGGCATCTCTTGGATGGAAAATCACTGTATTAACGTCCTGAAAATCCAATATTTTGTCAGAAAATCTTCCAAAATCCCTCCTTACATCAACATGATCATACAGAGTCCGTATCACTGGATGATGGGCGTCCGGTCCGTTCTCATTCATCTCTCTGTGCTCCTTCTCCCTCGCCAAAATTCTCTCAACGTCCATTATCTTGATAGAGCAATCGGCGGATCCCGTAGCTATTAAAGATCCATCGGAATTGAACGCGGCGGCTCTACATGGCGCTTTATGGACTGTCAAGTAGATTGTCTCGTATTGAGAGGGCTCTGGAGAGGTTGCGGCGACGTCTGCGTCGTATTGAAGGTCCAGACCGGCAGAAGAAGTTTCGAATTGCATCTGGAACTTTTTTTAATTAAAAAAACAGTTATTTTTCGAATCTTTTCCTACCGGCATAGTGTTCTCCTCTGCTTTGTAGTCTGGATCCTCTACAAACTGCTTGGCAATGGTCACCAATCGAAAAAGCTTATCGGAAGGCGGAGGTGGTGGTGCAGAACATCCCAGAGTGTTGGCCAGGTTCACAGCTATCTGTTGATGTCCATCGTAAAATAGTTGACTGGAAAAAATTGTTTAAGAACTATAATTTGGTGTAAAAACTATGTCAAAACTCACCCAATAATCAATCGGTACATATACTCGCGATCTTTTATGTCCGGCTTCATTTTTTCTTTGAGTTTTTCCTTTTTTTAGCGAGAGAAACTCGAAAAAACAACAAAAATCGCTGCAGAATTCGAATTTTTATTAAAGGCACACACAATTTTCGCGAGTGGCGGGTCTCGCCGCGCGCGACTCACCGTAGTCAGCAGCCTTGAAAACGCACTTTTCTGTGTCTTTTTTTCGCATGGCCTAAAACCTTTCTTGTGCTTTTTGGGTCTTTTTTTCGGAAAGTTTGCAAAATAAACTGAAACATGACTAATTTCAGCTGTGAATTATATTTTCAAACAGTTTTTCTCACGAAATCTCATTTTGTGGGAAGAATTCTCGAAAAACAATTTTTAGCTCTCATCGACTTCTCGTACGATTTATTTTCGCTCAAATCATTTACCATTCTAAATAATTTATTTCCAGGTAATAATGAAGGTCAATCCATTCGTCTCCAGCGATTCCGGAAAGAGCCGCAAGGCCCACTTCAACGCTCCATCCCACGAGCGCAGGCGCATCATGTCCTCCCCACTCGCCAAGGAGCTCCGCACTAAGCACGGAATCCGCTCCATCCCAATCAGGTAAGAAATAGCTCCAAATATAATAATTAACACCTAAAAATGTGCTTCCCATTCAGTAGTCCCGGACGAATTAGAATTTAGCGTACGGTTTGGACATAATGGGGAAATGGACTTTACTCTTTTTGCAGCGAAGTTGATCCTTATGATCTCTTTGCTAGCCATAAGTTTAATACAATGTAATTTTTCCTATTTTTAGAGTCGATGACGAGGTCGTCGTTATGCGCGGACGCCATAAGGGAAACACCGGACGTGTCCTCAGATGCTACCGTAAGAAGTTCGTCGTCCACATTGACAAGATCACCCGCGAGAAGGCCAACGGATCCACTGTGCACATCGGAATCCACCCATCGAAGGTGAGGTTTGTATAAACTAGTTCCGGTGCACATGGACTTCACACCTGTCGTGAGTTCCCTTTATGCATTGTTACGTGCTGTCGGACTAGGCAAAGTTTATACATTCAACTTTCGGAAAATAAGCTGTTGTTAACCCTATCTCTTGTTCAGGTCGCTATCACCAAGCTGAAGCTCGATAAGGATCGCCGTGCTCTCGTTGAGCGCAAGGCCGCCGGACGCGCCCGCGTTACTGGAATCCTCAAGGGAAAACACACCGACGAGACCGTCGCCTAAATTGTTATTGATTACAAATAAATTGTTGATCTATTAAATCTTGTTTTTTTCTTCTGAATATTAAAGCTTCCATCAAGAAACTGCTACCTGAAAAGAATCTGAAACTGCTGTAAAAGATGAACAGCGCGTCTATTTTGTGAATTTGCTTTAATCAAATTCTGAAACAACCTGGTTCTTCCATCCGTGTCCCTGAAAATGGGCTTACATTTTTCTGCTTCATTGCGCGTCGAATATGATGCCTGCTGTTTGCGTACTTTATGGAATTCGTTTATTTTCTCTTGTTTGTTCGCAAAGGTCTTGCAAAAAACCTAGATTTTTTCTTCAGGAGATGTCTGGGTTCAGCATACGCAACCCAGAACGTCGAATCGAATCGAACCCGTTCGATGTGGATGCCTGGAACCTTCTGCTCCGCGAGCATCAGGTAGAAAAGTCTAAATTCATAAGTTTGAGTATTTAAATTTCAGTCCCGCCCAATTGATCAAGAGCGTGAGTTCTACGAGAGTCTTGTCACTCAGTTTCCAAATTCTGGACGTTACTGGAGAGCCTACATCGAGCATGAAGTACACAAAAACCTAATTTTCCGTTTTTTAAAATTCAAAAATTTTCAGCTCCGCTCGAAAAACTTCGTTGAAGTCGAAGCGCTATTTCAACGCTGTCTGGCAAATGTGCTAAATATCGATTTGTGGAAGTGCTATATAGTTTATGTGTCGGAAACGAAGGGAACCATCGAAAAGTACAGGGAGACTATGGCCAAAACTTTTGATTTCGCTTTGGAGAAAATTGGAATGGATGTGCTTGCCTTCTCGATTTACCAAGATTATATTGCGTTTTTGAAGAAAGTGTAAGACTTGAAAAAGATAATTTTTTTTGAAAAAAAAAATATTTCCAGCCCCGCCATTGGCCAGTACGCTGAGAATCAAAGAATCACAGCTGTCCGCCGTGTCTACCAGAAGGCTCTCGCCACCCCAATGCACAATCTGGACACCATTTGGGCTGACTACTGTGCCTTCGAGAAGAATATCAACATGACTCTAGCCGAGAAACTGATCGCCGAGCGTGGAAAAGACTATCAGAACTCTAGAAGAGTCGAGAAGGATCTGCAAGCAATGACACGTGGATTGAATCGACAGGCAGTGTCAGTGCCACCGAAAGGAACAGCTTCAGAATCGAAACAAGTCGAGCTTTGGAAGAAATACATCGCTTGGGAGAAGACGAATCCGTTGGGAACTGAGGAGTACGGTCAGCTGGCGCGACGAGTGGTTTACACTTATGAGCAAGCACTGCTCAGTCTTGGATACTATCCGGATATCTGGTATGAGGCGGCGATGTTCCTTCAGGAGGCCAGTCAGACGTTGGATGAGAAGGGAGATGTTAAATTGGCACAAGCGCTGAAAGTCGAGTGTATTGGTAAGGGAAAATGCACTGGAACTGGAATATAATTGTTTAAAATGGGTGTTTTTCATAGTCGTAGACTGGAAATTCTCCGAAAAATCGTAATTTTTCTGGTTTTTGACTACTAAATTCGTTTAAAAATCCCGAAAATTCCTGAAAGTGTAAATTCAAAATAGCTCAAAAATTTGTCAAATCTTCAAATTGAAGTTCAAAACACATCGAAAATTAAGGATTTTCTGAATTTTCGAATTTTGGAATCTCAGAATTTTTCACAATTCTAAATTTCAAAAATTTTTGAGTTTCTAGAGTTTTCGAGTTTTTTCGGAATTTCAGAAGTTGAACATTTCCAAATTTTCAGAATTTTCGAATTTTAATTAATTCCAAAAATTCTGAATTTCTGAGCTGTCGACATTTTTAAATCTTCAAAATTTCCGATTTTTTGGATTTTCAGAATTTTTTGAAATACTTGAATTTTTGAACATTTGAATATCTTGAATTTCTAAGTCTCGAATTTTTGAATTTTTGAATTTCGGAATTTCTGAATTTCCGAATTTCAGAATTTCCGAATTTTTTGAATTTTCGAACTTTTGGATTTTCTGAATTTTTTGAAATACTTGAATTTTTGAATATTTGAATTTCTGAGTTTCTCGAATTTTTGAATTTCACAATTTTCGAATTGTTGAACTTTAGCATTTTTCAAGATTTTTAGAATTCCAGAATATTCGAATTTTTGAGTTTTTAAATTTCCGAATTTTTAAGTTTCCGACAAAATTCTGATTTTCCAGGACTCTACGAACGCGCTATAACCGGTCTGATGAAGGAATCAAAACTGCTCTACTTCGCCTACGCCGACTTCCAAGAAGAGCAAAAAAAGTTCGACGCCGTCAAAGAGATCTACAATCGATTATTGACAATCGAACAGATCAATCCAACGCTGACCTACGTTCAATTGATGCGATTCATCCGGCGAACCGAGGGACCGAACAACGCGCGGCTCGTTTTTAAGCGAGCTCGAGAGGATAAACGAACGGGATACCAGGTGTTCGTGGCGGCGGCTCACATGGAATATAACTGTATGAAAGATGCCGATGTGGCTATACGAGTCTTCAAATTAGGCCTCAAAAAGTATGAAAATGAGCCGGAGTTTGGTTTGGCGTATGCGGATTTTTTGTCGAATATGAACGAGGATAATAATACGAGAGTGGTGTTTGAGAGGATTCTAACGTCTTCAAAATTGCCAGCTGATAAGCAAATCCGAATCTGGGATCGATTCCTAGACTTTGAGAGCTGTGTCGGCGACTTGGCATCGATTCTAAAAGTCGAAAAACGTCGGAAAATTGCTTATGAAGAGGCTCAGAAGGATCTGGGAATGAACCATTCGATGCTGGTGATCGATCGATACAAGTTTATGGATTTGATGCCGTGTAGTGGGGATCAGTTGAGATTGATTGGATACGATGCGTTGAAAGGTAGGGATCAAGCCGTTCAGGGCTCCGGAAAAAATCTAGAAAGTCAAAAATTACCGTAAACCTGTAATAGAAGGACCCTCACACTATCAAATTCGAGCTCAATTATCTCGGCTCCTATGAGAGATATCAAAAATGTGTCAACTGATAAAATGTTGGTGATATTATGATACATAATTTATCAGTTAAAACGTCTTTCATATCATTGACAGAAACCAAGATAAAATGGCTCAAAGGTAAAAGTTAGGGGGGCCCTTCTACTACAGGTTTTATGGTATCCGAAAAATTAGAAATTTTTGGAGTTAAAAATTAGAGGTTTTTTTGCTTTTTGTCGATTTTTTTTGCAAAATTTTTAGACCTTTTCAGGGGTTTCAGCCATTTTTAAAAGTCCTCTTTCGATTTTTCTGAATTTTTTTGTCTAAAATTTGATGGGATGTTGACCTTGACCGGAAGATTACTGTAGATTTTGTCTTGCATTTGTCGGCATTTTGACGTGATTGTGTTTGCAAAAAAATCTACAAAAAGAGATTTGTGTGTCTACAGTAATCTACAGTAATCTACAGTAATCTTCGTTCCATAAAATTTCAGTCAGTAAATTCGGAAAAATCGAAAAATAATCTTCAGAAATAGCTGAAAACTTGAAAAGGTCTAAAAACTATGCAAGAAATTCAGAAAAGTTCTGAACTGTCGGGTTCTGAAATGTCCAGTTCTGAAACGTCGGGGTTCTGAAACGTCGGGGTTCTGAAACGTCGGGTTCTGAAACGTCGGGTTCTGAAACGTCGGGTTCTGAAACGTCGGTGTTCTGAAACGCCGGGTTCTGAAACGTCCCGGAGTCGATTTTTGAAAATTTTGTGATTTTTTATTGATTTCATCTGAAAATTCAGGAAACGACACTCCCTCCACTAGCACATCGAGCAACCCGAAACCAGTTCCAACACGTGGACCACAAGCAGCCAGTGCCATCATGGGTGGAGCCGGAGGACATGCCGATGTGGCACGATACGGTTTCCCACGACCAGACATCTCCCAAATGATACCATTCAAACCACGTGTCAACTGCACGGCATCATTTCATCCGGTACCTGGAGGCGTCTATCCACCACCTCCAGCCGCTGCTCATCTGATGTCTCTTCTACCCCCGCCGACGTGCTTCATCGGACCATTCGTCAATGTCGAGGCGTTGTGCAGTGTGTTGAGTCAGACGCAATTGCCTAGTTTGCAGTGTGAGTTTTTTGTTGAGAGATTAAGTTCGGAGCGACGGCCGTGGCCGAAGATCCCAAAATGAAAACTACCGTAACCTGAAAATTTTTTTCGAAAATACTGCTATTTTCCTGCTATTTCCAAGGATTTTTAGTGACTCAAACTGTACCATTCTCCAAAATCTTTTCCAACGATTTTGAGAAAATTTCAAGATTCTTTTCACCGGTTTTAAAAGCCAATTTAGGCTCCGCCTCCACAAATGGGCGGAGCCTAAATTTGGGAATATCCGATTTTTGAGATACAAAGCTCAGTGATCCTGTATTCAAAAACGGTCCACATAAAAATGTTTAATTTCAATAAATGGGCGGGGCCAAGCATTCTTCTATTTATAAGCATTCTTCTAACTAGATTGATTCTCAAAAGTGGGCGGAGCCTAAACTTCCAATATATATTTATTTTCCAGATGACAAATCGGAGAACGGTATGATCGGACCGATGAACGAAGCCGACGTGAAGAAGGATTTGTATCAGCTCCTGGCGACGACTTCGGATCCGTCGGCGGTAAGATTTTTTGAAAATTTCGAAAATTTGCATTTTTTGAATTTTAATCGAATTTTCGAGAATTCCAAAAATCGGCGAAATTCAAAAAAAACCGGTAATTCCGAAATTTTCAATTTTCAAAATTTTCGACAATTCAAATCTTTTCAGCTTCGAGAATTCCAAAATTTGGAAAAATTCGACTGTTGAAAACTCAAAATTTTGAAAGTTCTGAAAATTTCGAAATTCCGAAACTGAAAAAATTGATTTTTGGAAAATTGAAAAATTTAATTTTTCAGGTGGTTCGCTCGTCGGCGCTGGCAGATTTGAAGCGAAAACGTGGCGATTCGGATGAGGAGGACGAGTATTCACATCTTCAAAGCAGCACAATAGGATCTATCGGATCACGGGACGCCTACAAACGGCGAATGAACAAGAAGAATGAATAATTTCTTTTTTTTTGCTTTTTTTTGAAAACCTTGAATTCCCCCCCCCCCCCCACACTTTTTCAAAAATTTGAACTTTTGATTTTTGAAAAACTTCAAATTCCCCCACAATTCTCCCTCACTGTCTAATTTCACTGATCTTACAAAATAATATTAATTTTGTTTTTTTTTATTTTTTTTGTCTCTGGAAAGTATTTTTTTCCATGTTTTAACATTCACATCACCCCTTCCTCCATTTTTAACCTTTTTCATAAATATATGTCAATCAAGTTTCCTAGTCTTTTTTTCTATTCTTTTTCATGATTTTCGAGAATTTTCTGTGTGGTTTTTGCCGCGAAAAATTATATATTGAAATAGGGAAAATCGGATTCGGTTTTTTTTTCGAAAAAAATAAGCGAAAATCAAATTTTATATAAACTTTAAAAATTGAAAAACAAAGATATTTGAAAATCTAGATTTAAAAAAAGCAAAAATTCAAATTTAGGCTCCGCCCACTTTCTGGGAATCAAAAATCCTGGAATCAAAAAATGGCAATTTTCGATAAATTCGGTTTTTCATGTCAAAAATTTTCCGATCGAATTTTAGGCTCCGCCCAATTTCTAGGATTGATGAAAAATGGTCAATTTCAACTGAATTTTTTCTCGAAAATCTGAAAATCGAATTTTAAACTCCGCCCACTTTCGAAAAAGTGCTCACTAATGGAGAGATGCTAGGCTCCGCCCATTTTTAAAAAAATTAAAGTTTCAAACATTTAGGCTCCGCCCACTTTCTAGGGTTTTTTTTCCACTAAAAATTCTCAAAAAACCGTTTACAAAGCCAATTTTCAGTGAAGTTTTCACTGAAAATTGTCGAAAAATATGAAATTTTCGAAATTTAGGCGGCTCCGCCCACTTTCTAGGATTTTTATGATAAAAATCAATTTTCCTTAATTATTCAAATCAACAAAAATTTCAAAATAATCAATTCTTTCAGAAAACATGCTAACATCACTGGTATTCTATCCGTCACTTGGCTATAATCTATTCAGAAATTATGTGCAAGGATCCCGTTGGGCGTGGTACAATCGTGTTGATGACACACTGATCCTCGGCGCAATGCCATTTCAATCGATGAAAAATGAGCTGATCGGGAAGGAGAATGTGGGCGGAGTCGTGTGTTGTACAGAGGAGTTCGAGTTGAAGGTGCGGGGACGAAAAAGTCGAAAATTTGGTTGGAAATAAGCCGAATATTGGCCAAAACGTCATGAAATTTCATAGGAAATAGTGAAAAAGATACAAAATTCATGAAAAATTTGAAAAAAAACGCGTTGAAATCGTTCGTCTGAAATGGAATAACCTCGAAATTACGGTTCGGCGAAAATTTTGAAATTTTGAGAATTCCAAAACGTCGTTTGTTTGAAAAATTCAACAATTCAAGTTTTTTCAACCTTCAGAAACTCAGAAATCCAAAATTTCTGAAATTTATAAATTTTCAAAATTTTTGAAAGTTCCCAAATACGGTAATTCCTGAAAATCATACTTGTAACGGGCCGGGCCGGGCCGGGCCGGGCTTTGGAGCCGGGCACGTCATTTCACAAGTTTTGAAATTTTCAAAAAACAAATAAGGGGGTTTTAACCCTTATGTGATTTTTTTTCGATCAAAAAATTTTCCGAGTTTTTTAATCTTTTTAGATCAAACAGACAAACCATCCAAAAAAAAAAAACAAAAAAAAATGGATAAAATTATATTGAGAGCTTGCTTGCAAGCGGACCGGCTGATAACTTTTCCCCTAGAACGAGATATTCAGACGGTTTTGGTACCAAATGATAGGTCTCGGCAGGACCCATTACGTCTATATCATTCAAGCCGGATTCCGGTCCGGTAACATGTCGAAAAATATTTTTGAATGACAATTTTCAACCAATTTGATAAAAAGTAGTTTTTTTGTCATTCAAATAGACTCTTGGACATGTTATCCTACTGGAATCCGGCTCAAATAATATAGGCTTGATGAGCCCTGTCGAGATCTATCATTTGGTACCAAAACCCTCCGAAAATCTCGTTTTAGAGACAGGTTATCAGCTGGCCCGCTTGCAACTATGCGTATTAGTGATTGATTTATTGAGTGACCTGAATTTAAAACAAAAGCTTCAGGATTACTATAGTTTTGTATTTGAAATTAGGATCCTTCTCCACCTAAAATTGGTTCTTCCAGGCAGCTCTGAATGCGATGCGTGAGGAGGACTGGCGCAAAGAAGGCGTCGAATTTTTCGCGGTCCCGATGAAAGATTTCACTGGATCAGCGCCACGTGCCGAAATCGATGGAGCCGTGCAATTCATTGAAAGTGTCGCGGCCAAGGGGAAGACGGTCTATGTGCATTGTAAGGTTCGTCAGAGTCTTATGAAGACGTTCCCACGTCATAGGAGAACTTGAAAACGTTCTCAACGCTAACACTTCTGAACCCCAATGTCTTCAGAAAACTGGAGAATCTTCTCCTACAGTAACCCAAAAAACACAAACACATAAAAATAGTATTCTGAAATGTTGGACGCCTTCTGAAACTCCAGAAGCCTTTCAAAAAATTGAAGTCTTCTGAAGACGTTCTCAACGCATTCAGAGAAATTTCAAAGTTTAGCGAAATTCTACGGACATTTCTAAACTTTAACGTCTTCAGAAAGCGTCTCTAGAATCTTCCAGAACCTCTAAACCTCCATTTTCCAGGCGGGCCGCACCCGAAGCGCCACAGTTGCCACGTGTTATCTGATGAAGTCTCGTAATTGGATGTCGAACGTCGCCTGGGAGTTTCTGAAGGACAAACGTCATCAGGTGCTCCTTCGGAACGCTCATTGGAGAACTGTCAACGAGTATCGCCGGTTTTTGGATTCTAATTCTTCGTCGACGTCTTCTAAATGATTCTTTGTGATTCTAGAACCATTTTTCCCTTGTTATTTAGCTCCATTTTCCCGTTATTTACCGATTTTTGAAGATATATATCATTGCTACATGCTGTGCTACTCTTTCTCTCTCCCTCTCGATCGAAGCGATACAAAGGTGGAGAATGGGAAAAATAAAAAATTTGCAAAAAACCTGGCCACCCTCCTCCTTTCCTACACTCTTTCGCTTTTTATGAGGAACGCCCGATGCCTTGCGGAGGAGGAATATAGATTCCCAGCTCTGAAACTCTTTCGATTCGATACACTCTCTCAGCCAGCCCCGATTTTTCTGGAAGCAACGGGAGGGAATCGCCATTTTTGTCTTTCTTTTCTTTCATTTTGCCATCTCTCAAACTGCAAAAATGATGATGATGGGACGTGGATTTTTGGCAATGATTGTCGCCGTCGCTGTTTTGTTGGATACGGTAGGTTTGGGTTCTGGAGATTCTGAAGTCTTCTGAATTCCGAACTTCTTGGATTTTGAATATTCAGAAGTTTGAAATTCTGAGAACTCGAAAATGACGTCATCTGGGATTATGAGACTCCAAGATTCTGAAATTTGGAAACTCCTGTAATTTTGTATTTTGAAATTCTGAGATTTCCGCAAAACTACAAAAATGACGTCATCTCTCCGCTTTGGAATTTTTAGATTTTGTTGCAATTTGGAATTTTGTGATTTTGACATAAACCTGACTTCTTTTGAAGATATCCCTAGGATTCTGAAAATGACGTCATCCGAATTTCGTGGATTCTGAAATTCGAAGATTCTGAAGTTTTGAAAATTCCGTTTTTCATAAAAATCTGACGACGTCTTCTGAATTCTGAAAATTTTGGACTTTCTCAAGATCTTACTTTTCTGGCATTCTGAGGGATTTTGAAAATGACGTCTTCTGAATTTTTTGAAATTTGAAAATCTGATATTTTCCTAAAACTACGAAAATGACGTCATCTATATGATTTGGAATTTTTCAGAGTTTCTCAAAATTGTGATTTATTCTCTTCTCAATTCTGAAGATTACTGAAAATAACATCATCTGAATTTTTTGTATTCTGAGATTCAAAGATTCTGAAGTCCTGAAACTTTCGAATTTGTAAGTTGAGACTCTGAGATTTCCGAGAAACTACAAAAATGACGTCATCTCTCTGTTTTGGAATTTTTTTACGATTTCAGAAAAAAAAATCCTGACGTCTTCTAAATTCTGGAGTTAGGAGATTGCTGGGCTCTGAAAAAGACGTCTTCTGAAGTCAGAATAACGTTTTTTGAAGATTTCAGAACTTTACTACAGTAACCAGAATATGATTTTTTCGAATCAGATTTTTTTTTATTCTGAAGAATTCTGAAAATGACGTCATCTGGGTTTTTTTCAGATTCAAAGATTTCAAGATTGTGAATTACCAAAACTTTGAAAAATCGGCGATTTTTTTTGAAAGTTTCAGAATTTTTTTCTGATTTTTGAAAATTCTGAAAATCGACTTTAACAAAAAATTGAGGTCTTCTGAATTCAGAAGTTCTGGAATCTTGAAGATTTTCAGAATTTTAGTTTCTGAAGTATCTAAAATGGAAACTCTGATGTTTCTGGAAAACTCTGAAAATGACGTCATCTGAATTTTTTGGATTCTGACGTTCCGAGTTTCTGAAACTCCCGAACAACTAACGTCTTCAGAATTCAGAACAGAGACATAGCGATAAACCAAGACATAGAAACCAAAAAAGCAAATTCGCTCCATTGACAATTTTTAGGCCAACTGTGCCGACCAAGTCGTCGAGGCGACCGGCGCCGTCATTTCCTCTGGCGACGAGAAGATTCTCGAAACGACAGCTACCGTAACCCATGAAGCGGCTACAGTAACCACTCAAAAAGCTACAGTATTCCCGGCAAACGCTACAGTAACCGTAACGGAAAAAGAAGACGACGAGAAACCGATAACCGAAACGATTCGCACTTACATTGAGGACTCGGTCAAGTCAGTTAAACATGCGGTAAGTGATTTGGCGGGAATTCAAAAATTCAAATTTTTTTGTAGATCTCGAAAATCGGAAAATTCGTCGGAGAACTTTTTGAAGACGCACCAGCCAACTCAACCCTCTCATCGAATGCCACGTCATCTACCGTAACCCAAGCATCTACAGTAATCATCTCCACAGCTACACCGACCGCTGAGACCCAGAAGTAATTCATTGTTTTTTTTGGAATGGAATTATTGAGCTGAAATTTGATTTTTATTGATTGGATTCTTCTAATTTTTGATCAATAAAGTGTTGTCTACATTCAGAATATCTTGAATGAATTTTGAAATTTCAAATTACCGCTAACCAACTGGCAGGGAATACTGTAGCCTTTCCATGGTTTATGGTAGCTACTCCATTCGAATTCAAAAAAGTTATCATTAAAAAAAAAACTTCCAATACTTCAGAATCGAAAATGCTGAAAGTAAAAACAAGCTGCGGTTATAGTAGTAATTGCAGGTATTACTGTAGTTTTTTGTGTGGTTACTGTAGCTCCTGCATGGGTTACAGTAGCTGTCGTTTAGAGAATCTTCTCGTCACTAGACGAAATGACGGAGGCGTTCGCCTCGACGACTTTGTCGGAACAGATGGCTTAAAAATTGTCAATGGAGCACATTTGCTTCCGCGATTCTCTTGTATTTGGGATGTCACTATTCTGAATTCTGAAAACGTCAAATTGTTTAAAAAATCGAATATCTTAGAATCAGAAATTCAAAATCTAAAAACTCGGAAGTTTTAGAATTTCAAAACTTTGGAACATCAGTATCCAATAATTCAGATGACATCCTTTTCAGAATCCTTCATAATTCAAAAATCAGAATTTTCGGAAACTAAATTCTATTTTGTATGGATTCCTGTAGTATGTTGCGCCAGAACGGATGATTTGGAATTTCGAAATTTGAAATCATAAAAATTCCGAAAAGTTCTGAAAATGAGGAATTCACAATTCCTCAAAAAATTTCATTTAAAGGTGGGGGGACAGGAGATTTTTCGTAGTTTTTTTGTAGCTAGAGTATGCATTCTACCGTCACAGTGTACAACGCTTAATGTCACTCTGCGTACAGCTGTCGTCCTCGCCTTTATGTATGCAATCGGGCGTGCAATTTCTCTTTGCCCGCGTGGCTCAGTCGGTAGCGGCGCCGCACCCTCAATCATCGCCCTCACAAGTTCAACTCCTCGAGAGGCATCTTTGAACGGAATTTCGAGAACATTATTTTTTTCATGTCCCCCCACCTTTAAAATATCATTCTGAGAATTTTCGTAAAACTATTCTGAATTAAGGAGACGTCAGACTTTCGTCAACTCAGACAGCGTCATTTCTCCTTTTTTCCGTCATTCTGAAAATGTTTAATGACAAGTTTAAGAATAATGAAATCTGTTTAAAATGTTGTTTTCAAAAAATGGACAAAAAATTGACAGATTTGAGTTTCAATTACCGTTACCCACTCGAGTATCCCAAACCGTCAACTTTGAGCCAATTTATCTCAGTTCCTGTGAAAGATATCAAAAATGTGTCAACTGACAAAATGTTTATCATGATATCAAAAATATTTTATCAGTTGTCTACTTTTTGATGTCGTTCACAGGAACCGAGATATATAGGCTCAATTTGGGTGTTAGGAAACTCATTCTATTAGAGTGCTTACCGTATATCAAGACAAAACATTTCTAGACTTGATTTTTTTTTGCCTAATCTCTGATTTTTTCCTGTCTGGCCTCTGTTGATAACAACGGGTATGATAATTAGAAAATTATCATATTGTCTTGTGGTTATGATAATTAACCCGAATAAAAGGGGACATGAGTGGTGTTGGAAAATTGTACAGTCTAGTTTTTCAGGATTCTGGAAGCTTCTAAAAGTTCTTGTTGATTTCTGGAGCCTCCTTGCATGTTTTAGAATTGTTTCTAAAAACTTCTGAAACCTCAATTATCTGAACTCCAGGGTACACCATGACGTCCGAAGGAAAACCAGTACCCAGTGTCACTAAACGATTGCTCAATTCTGGATCCCGTAAGTTCTGAATCGTCCTGACCACTTTCGAAACCATCATTCATTTCAGAACTTCCATCTTTTCGTCGAAACGGAATTTTCTACGTTTTGCTTGCCCTCTTCTTGTATATTATAGTCGTCACAAGACCCCAACAAACTATGGTGTTGAGTAGAATGATGGAAGTTCCACAGATTCAAAGAATCCCAAGTAACGATTATCAGGAGATTTCTAAAGTGGAGGTGAAATCGAAGAAGTTGGAACAGAAGCCAGATTGGGATACGTTGGATGGAATTGGATTTGAGTTTGAAGAGGTGAGATGGGATCCTAGGAGAATTCGAAAATTCAAAATTCGAAAGATTAGAATTGCCCGCGGTATGTCCGGGGTATCAGGTTCCTGTGATAAAATAGAAGAAAATCAACAAGAAATGTAACAAAATCGGTTTATTATGAACAAGTTAGAAAGAAACAACAGATAAAACCTTAGAATTTAAGCAAACTCACTTAAAATCCTTAAAAGAGTCTCTAGAACAACTACGAGCCAAATCCAAGCTCGCAATCACTCAAAACTAAATTCAAACTGTGCGCGCGCCGAGCGGGATAGCGGAGTGTCGTTGCGTGGTTAGAGGGAACCTTTAGAAGGAGTTGGGGGGTAGATGCACCAGGCAACTTTAGGATTCATTAGATCCAGAATCTGAACTTTCAAATAACAAATTTAAAAAAAATATTAGGAAAAATTCGAAAGTTCGAAGTTCTGAAATTGGCGAAATTCCGGAAAAAATACCTTTAACATTCTAATGGAGTGCCACCCAAACCTTAAACTTTGAGCTCAATTATCTCGGTTCCTAAAAGAGATATCTAAAATTTGTCAACTGATAAAATATTGGATATGTTATGATAAGCATTTTATCAGTTGAGCAAGTTTTGATATCTCTTATAGGAACCGAGCTAATTAAGCTCAGACAACTGTGGCCTAAAACAGAAAATTGAAATTTTGGAGAAATCCAATAAACCCAATTATTTTGAGAACCCACATTTCTCGGTTCCTTTGAAAGATATTGAAATTTTGTCAACTGATAAAATGCTTATCATAATATCAGTAACATTATGTCAGTTTACTAATTTTTGTAATCTGTCATGGCAACCGAGATAATTGAGCTTGACGTGCACTTATCGGGCGAGCTCCTATTAGAGCAAATTTTCAGAGTCCGTTTTTCAGTTTTTAAAATTCGACATTTCCAGAACAAACCAATCGTAATGGATCCTCGTTTCTACGACATGCTAAAACTCCCCCAATGCGATTTGACCAAGGATAAGGTCCCATCAAAAATCAATATCAAAGAGGCGATGAACCAATTTCAACAGTGTGTTCGACCGATTGTTGAGAGATGGAGAGGCGATATTAAATCGGTAATTGATCCTTGGAAAATAGATATTTCCAATTATAGATTTTCAGATGAACACCAAGTTCTCTGAAACTCGTCTATGTGAGGCGGCATTCAAGGATATGGATGTGATTCCAATGACAAATCTACATGAGACTAAATGGGCGATTTTGCCGCATTGTGTAAGGGAAAATCCAGTGGAGCAAACTTGCATTTTTACTTTTATAGAGAGAGGAGAATATCATGGTCACCATTGGAATCGGACATGACACCTATGGAGAGGAGAGATTGAATCGGGTAAATGACTCAAATCGCTAAGATTGGGGTATCGGTCTGCATTGTGACATGCTGGTGTTCGCTGGAACCCTAGGCTACAGTAGTTCCTACAAACACCATCAAGTCAAATTGCGGACAAAAATTTGCACCAGTCCTCATAACTAATTAGTTAAACAATTAAAAATATTTTAGACGCTCCCGAACACAAATTCTTCGGTGCGGACCCAATCATTGAGCCAAATCGTCAATTGTACACTGCATTTGGAAAATACTTTCCATTTGCAATTGGAAAGAAACCAGGATTCACAAAGTTCCGAGTATTGCCAAATCAAAATCAGAAGACTAGAAAATACGAATTTCAAGATGTCACTACCATTCCATTCACCTACTTTTTATGGGACATTTTGGGATTGAAGGTATGAAACATCTTGGGTCCAAGAATTCTAGATTTCGTTTTTAAGATTGAGGCGTTTTCAAGAACAATTTTTTTCTGAATCAGGCAAACATTCCCCAGGCGGCGGACATTTTGGGTCTAACTGTCAATATTTTGTAGAGTTCTGAAAGTCGCGAGTTCCTCAGAAATTCAGAAATTCAAAATTTCAGAATTATGATGTTCTGAAATGTGGTATTCCCAAAATGTACTCATTTTCTGTTAAAAACTTTGTCGAAATATAACTTTCTGAAAATTTCCGGTTCAAGAAGGCCATACGACTATAACCGTAAGATCATAAGACCATAATAACAAGCCTAAGACGCTTAGGCTAAGCGCCCTGCTTTTCAGAAATTTCGATATTCAAAAATTTGCTTTTTTTTTTGAAAAATCAAACTTTTTTAAAACCAAAATATAATTTTTATGATGACCATATGACCATAAATTCAGACAATAAGAGTCCGATTTTTCGAAAAGTTCGAAACTTTTTTCTGATTTCGAAAGACGATTTCAAGTGTTTATCACTTCTGGAAGTTCTAGAATCAATTCGATTGCGTTCTGAAATTAGAAGAAGTATAGTTTTGTGAATCTCAACGAATTTCCATATTATGAGACTATTCAGGGCTCAGAATTTTCCAGAACCTTCCAGAATCTCATAGATTATTTTTTCCAGCAATAACTTTCCAGCAATAATCAAAAACTATTATAAGATTCTGCTTTAAAATTCAAAATCCCGACTCTCAGAATCTTCCAAAGTCATTTCTAATTTATTTCCAGCAAATCGACATAGCCTGGATTGACATTGAAGGTGGAGAATTCGAGTTCTTGGACCAATTCTATCGAGGTGGACCAATGGATGAAAAAGGAATTGTAATCTGTCAATTCAATTTGGAAGTTCATTCGAAATTCAATCCCCCAGGAGCTCAAGTTTTTCATGATTTCGTTTTTCGAATCCTGGATGATAAGAGATACATTTTTACAAAAGTTTTGAATACGGACGTTGGAATTCATCGAATGTTTTTCGTAAATGTGGAGGATGAGAAATGTGTTCGAAAGTTCCTTCAATGAGAACTTTTTTGTTTTGTTTAGGGGATTTTTGTAATTAATTAAACATTTTGGTTTGAATAAATAAGGTCAGTAAACTATTGAAGTGTTTTTTATGCCGAAAAGTTTACAAAGAAAAATAGAACATCGGGAATGTTTCTGGTACGATCAACCACTAGTTACCACATCGGAAAAATAAAATTCAAGATCTCCAGAAATTTCAATAATCCATCTGAATTTTTTTTTCTTTTTGAAAAGTTTTCTGATTTCTCTTCCAACTATCAGAGTCTTTAGATGTTTGCCAGAACTGTTAAGGTAAATATGATATGATAAGAAAACTGTTGCCACACTAGGATTATTATTATTCCTTCCGCTGCTTACATTTGCTTTTCTGTTACTTCTTTACGTTTTGGCTAGGAATCGAATATTTAGGTTTTCTGAATTGTCTCTTATATTTGCCTAACTAGGGAAGGCCCCAACTCGGGTGTGGCGATACGCATGGTGACCTATATCATCTGAAAGCTGTCATTCTCCTGGTTCCAAATCTGTTTTTAAAAAGTGCAATGTCGTTGTAGTTTACGAGAAAATTGGGTCAGTAGTTTCGAAAAATGACGTGGATTTTTAATCTCATTTTGCTTGCTCACGCTTGTCCGATACAACCACCGGAAAAATACAATGAAAAAATACAGAAAAATTTTAGCAGGTCGAGGGAGTCGAACCAGAGAGTACCCGCTTTATATTCCTCCTCACTAACCACTCGACCACGCTTCCACATTTCACAGGTAGAGGGGGACTGCCGAAAAACGGGCCGTCTGGCGGGCGCGGACTGCCGAAAAGCGAACAGTCGGCAGTCGAATCGCGCGCCGCCGACGGTCCGTCTGCAACGATTTGCGCTTCGAAGACGGACCGTCTAAAATGATAGCGCTTTCTTGACAGTTCATCATTAAACAGGTAATAAACGATAGAATTCTTTATTAAACTAATAGTTTCTGTGGATTGTGTATTGTATTGAAAAAATAACTCCAAAATTTTCAAAGTTGAAATTTTATGATTAGAATGAGAGAAAACACATAAGAGATCACACATTCTATAGGGAACAGAACTTCGATTTTCTATTTGTGTTTTCACAAAATTCCAACTTTATAAAAATTCAAATTTTAAAATGCGAAGATTTTTTTCTCGTTCCTTTCGTTCTTTTTTCCTTCTTCGTTTCTCGTTTTCAATTTCTTTCGGTTCTCAGCATTTCTCTCATTGAACAGTATTTTCCGCTTTTATATGACTTTCTTTCAGAATAAGTAAAATTGATGAGTTCGTAACATGAATTGAGCACCCAAAAAACTGGCATATAAAAAATCTCTACATGTTTAAGGCTTAGCGACATTTTTAGCAGAGACTTCAAAAGTTCGACATATCGCATGTGATATTTTAAAAGCCAACCGGAAGCAGAAAAAGCAACAGATTTTCGAACAACTTTTCATGCGCGAACCTTGCAAAGTTGTTACTTTCCATAGCACTTGCAAAACATCACACTTGCGAATTGTCGGCAAGGCGAATTTTCGGCAACAGAATGAGAAAGTTAAGAGATTTCGATAGTTTTTGCTTCGGAGCATATGTTTTTGCTTCGGAGCATACAAAAACTCACCAACTCACCACAAAAAAATTTCTGCAACGTTAAATTTGTTACTTTCCGAAGCAAAAAATTGCGAAACATTAGAAACTTATGGCAAAACAAGTTTTTACCGATTTTTTTCGCATTTTCAACTAAAACGCGAGAAAGAAAGTGCGCGAATGTTTTTGTTTTTCTAATGCCAGTATTTAGATAATTTGAGCGAAAAATACTGAATTTCAATGAGAAAAACTTCGAAAAACGAAAAAAAAACTGTGAAAATTAGACGAGAAATCGCGCCTCAGATTCTAATTTTCGTAGAAGTGCTTCTAATAACACATTTTATAGATTCCCAGATCCCTCTATGACTTTTATCATGTTTTAAGAGAAACATCTTTTTTCAACCAAATTTTCCATTCTGCAGAAATTTGGCCCGCCAACCACCGGTCATGACCAGTCAGCGCCTCTTCGACTGCCATTCAGCAGTCGTTCAACAACCTATTTTTTGAGGTGGTCCTATTTTAGGAAAATAAGATTCTGTCATTTCCTATAATCTAGTGGGGGGTATGAGAAATTGTTTTCTGAATGATTTCCAATCAAAACCTTCAAGTCTGTTTTCCAACGAGTTCCGACTGTCCGTCGACGGACCGTCGACGGCCCATCAGTTTTCCTTCGGCTGCCAACTAACAGTCATTCGCCAGTTGATAAGTGATGAGTGATGATAAGTGATGAGTATGTGCATATTCCAGTATTGCTCAAATCAACCGTTTGTTTGGGACTTGTAACCACAACGATGAACAGAAAAAACTTTGAATAAGAACAAAAATAGTTCAGAGTTTTCCGATTTGTTTGAAAGTTTCAGAACATGCTAAACAGAACTAGATCTCCATTTTTGTTATTTACAACTTTTTTGTACAATTCAAGGCTATGACGGTGCACTTCATTGTCCTCAGTTCAACAACTTCTGCGCCTACCTTGTCAATATGGAAATTGATACTGCCGGATGAATTATATCGAGAGATAATGATTTGAAATCTCTTTTTTTGTTTTTAGTGATGATGTGATTTAAAAAACCCCTACTTAGTGTACTAACACAGGAGTGCTGTTACATAATTCTGCTGATTTACTTAAAGACGGGGATGAACCTGGATTGAGTTTGTACTTTCACATTTTTATCATAGAGGCTGAATTAGACATTTCAGAATGACAGGATTCCAAGATTCAGAGATTCAAAAATTCTAGGGTTCCAGGATTTTAAGATTCCGAGATTCTTAAACTCCAGAATTCTAGGATTCCAGGATTCCAAAATTTCACAATTCCAGGGTTCCTGGATTCCAGGATTCCAGAATTCCAGAATTACAGGATTTCGGGAGTTTCAAACTCTAGTGTTCCGAGATTCCAGAATTCTAAGATCCCAGACATTCAGAATTTTGAAACCTCAAGATTCTAGAACTCCTATGTTCCAGGATTCCGAAATTCCAAGATTCCAGGATTCCAGGATTCCAGGGTTCCAGGTGATGGTTTCGAAATTCTGAGATTGGCGTACATAAAAAATAGGTCACGAACTTTAAAAATTCACGTGAGAAAAAAGTGCTACGCCTACGTGAGCGCCTAGTTTTTTTTGATGACGTGGTTATGTATGAAGGATTTTGAAATATTCAAAAAAAAAAATTATTCCAACCAATTCAAAAGAAGGGCGCTCTCCGTTTTGAAAAAGGGTGAGTCTAAAACTATGAAAATCTAAAATTCTGAAAGTTTGGAATTTTGAATTTTTGAAGTTCTGAAATTCTGAAATCCCGGAATTCTGAAATACTGAAATTCTGAAATTCTGAAGTTCTGAGATTCCGAATTTTTGAAATTCTGAAATTCTAGGATTTCTGAGATTCCGAATTTTCGAAATTCTGAAATTCTAGGATTTCTGAGATTTCGAATTTTTGAAATTCTGAAATTCTGAAATTCAGAAATTCAGAAATTCTGAAATTCTGAAATTCTGAAATTCTGAAATTCTGAAATTCTGAAATTCCGAAATTTTTGATATTCTGAGATTGTGAAATTCGGAAATTTTGAAATTTGGAAATTCTAGGATTTCGAAATTCCGAAATTTTGAAAATCTCAAACTTTAGAATTTCTGAAATGATGGGATTCTCCAATTCAGAAATTTCGAGATTCTGAAATTTGGAAATTCAGAATATCAGAAATTCAGAAATTCGAGAAAAAAAGAAATTCTGAGATTCTGAAATTTTATGGCTCTTATGAGATCTGGAAATTCGGAAATTCTGAAATTTCTAAAATCATGGGATTCACAAATTCTGAAGTTTCGAGATTCTGAATTTCAGAATCTCGGAAATTCTGAAACTTGAGATTACGAAATTTCGAGATTCTGAAGTTTTGAAATTTGGAAATTCTGAAATGTCATTTTTTCAGACTTGCGAGACGTCGCAACCTTGGTAGGATCCAAAAAACACCCCAGAGCAATACGAATTTTCGGAAAATGTTGAAATTTGGGTCTGTGTCAGTTGGACGTGGTCGGCGCACACCGGCAAACCTTGGCAGTCTGCCTCGAAATGTGTAAACCAGAACTATCGGGAAAAAACTGAAACTTAAACTTCTCTAAGACTCATAAGTCTTTGGCGAGCAGAGACGGGGTCGTTTTTGTTTTCAGTTTTAAAGGGTGGTACAACTGATAAGAACTGCAGAAAGTTCTTGAATTTTGTACCGGCGTTTTGAGTCCCAGATATTGTATTTTGGCAATTCAGCCGGACGCTCGGAACACTGAGGGTGCCTCCGGCCCCATCTGACACATAGGGTCGTCGCCTTGGTACTATTTTGTATCATAAGACGAGCTCTTGCCCACCATCTGCAAATTTTCGCCAATAAACCTTGAGGGATCTATCTGGAGCTGGGTGGCTTGTTAGATTCTGCTGATAGGTGTACGGATCCTAGTAACCCTGGGTAAACGTATTATTGCCTTCTCTCGGGTTTCGGCCTGTTTGCAAGCGATACCTTTATGGTGTAAATGCGGAGATGGTTATTTTGACTAGACTGAAATTCATTGAGCTCTGGGGGATGTGAAGGACACCGATCAACAAGTGAGACTTTGAAATTCTGAAACTCTTAGAATTCGAGGACCTGAGATTCTGAAAATCCGAAATTTAAAGATTCTGAAACGTTAATGTTCTTAAATTCCGAAATGACGAAGGTTTGAAATTCTTAAAATCGAAATTCTTAGATCCTGGGATTCTGAGATTCTGAGATTCTTAGATCCTGGGATTCTGAGAATATGAGATTTTGAGATTCTGAGATTCTGAGATTCTGAGATTATGGATTATGAGATTCTGAGATTCTGAGATTCTGATATTTTGAGATTCTGAGATTTTGAGATTTTCAAATTCTGGAAACCTCAAGTTCTGAAATTTTGAAATTTTGATTTTCCGATATTTAAAACGTGAACTCATAATTTTTTTTCGAAATCGTGACTAACCAATTTTTCAAAATTATTCATTTTGTTTTTTTTTTCAAAAAAGTATGGTTCTGATTTCTGAATTTTCTGAAAATTCTGAAACTATTTTTTTCAGAATTCTTCGATCTGGAATGCTGATTTGTCCGGCGGATCCAACGGAGATCACAACGTTTCGATGGAGTTCAATGTGGGTTTTAAAAAAATGATAGTTCAATTTTATTGATTTTTTCAATAATTTGAAATCTGTTTAATACAAAAAAAACTATCGCAATTTCAGAACGCCCCTTCAGCAGCTCTATCGACGTTTTCACAAATTCTAAAAATTGGGACAAGTACAGTAAGAAAAATATCAATTTTCTTGAAATTATTCTAAAAATTTTCAGATGGATTCAACGGATTTTCCGGGGGATGTCGATGGACTTCGGCAGGAAATTTCTGTGAACTTGATTGATTTTTGCGATCTCTTTTTTTCTTCTTTTTTTTTCGATGCGCGGGATTTTCTCCGGTTTTCGTGGTTTCTTGTCGTACTTGACCTCCCGCGCCCTGATGACCTAGCGGCCGGTGGCTCAAGATCTGTGGTTGGATTACGAGCTAGTTAAATTCGTGAAGGCGTGATATAAAATTTGCTGGAACGTTTGGACTTTAATCTAAAAGTTGGACTATAATCTAAAATTGGACTATAATTTGTAAATTGGACTAAAAATTGGACTAGTGTTTGGACTAAAATCGAAAAAATGGACTATCAAAAATTACAGTAACCAAAAACTAACAAAAAATATGATTATCAAAAGTAAAGGTTTGAAAAATGTGTAAGAAGAGTTTTAAAAAGGTGTGAAAGGTGTAAAAAGTGGAAAAGGTCTAAAAAGGTGTTAAAAAAAGGTGTCGAATGTTCGAAAAATCGAAGGTCAAAGGTGTAAAAGTTATAATGGTAAAAGTCAATAAACGATTTAACCTGTACATGTTGTTTTGTTTTTTGTGTTGTCAGAATAATACGAAATAAGCTCCGCCTCTCTATCATTACTAATAACAACCACCAAATTCTGTATGTTGATGTGTATGTCGCGTGCCTGTTTACCCCTTCAAAGTTAACCTATTAAGCTGAAACCTGGACAGATAGATCAGAAATGACCCGAACTTTTTGTTTTTCGAAATTCTGATTTTGAAGTCTTCTGGAGACGTTCCTAGGTTTCACCACAGTGAAGGGTGGAGGCGAGAGATGACGAGGGAGAAAGAGAAATGGGAAAGGGAGCAGAATATCCCACACTGGAGCCCGGATCCTGGAGCCCGGGTACTAGAGCCCCGGTACAGTAACCCGTGTACTGCTAACTTCAAAGACGCATATCTCTAAAACTAAAAGAGCTAGACTATTTTTGTAAATTAACAAAGTGTAGGAAACCTAATTTTACACATTCTCATAGCATAAAACTTTGTGCTAGCTACAGTAGTTTTAGAGTTATGCGCCTTTAAAATTTGCTGAACTCCTTCGGCGGGCGCAGAAGAGGGGAGAACTGGGGTTTTTGAGCAGGCCAACTTTAAAGGCACATATCTCTAAAACTAAAAGAGCTAGACTATTTTTGTAAACAAATAAAATGTAGGAAACTTAATTTCACACATTTTCATAGTTTATATTTATAATTTTCATCAATTTCGATGCAAATTTTCGAGAAAAGTAGCCGGGAAAATAGGAAGGCGCTCCAAAAGTACATTGTTGGAACAATAGAAAGACGAGCCCTTCTAATACAGGTTTTACAGTAAGCGTTAAAAACTATTAGTTTGAATATCTCAAAATTCATTAAAAAAAATATCGTATTTTAAAATTGAGAGAGGGACATTAGAAAAATTCTGATACAGGGAGAAATTGAGACCACCATTGTTTCTCGACCATTCTCATTTCATCCAGAATCGCTGCTGCTGACTCTCTTATGTTTTTCGTCGCTTTTCGACTGTTTCGATAATATTCCGATATAGTTTTCATCCAATTCCACAATTCTTTCGATTCCAAAAAGCATTCGACATTGATATAAGTGTGCATTAACAGAAAACCAAAGTGAATCGATTGATCCGTAGAGTGTGCGGAATTCAGTATAGTTTTAAATACATTGGCACTCATTTTTGGACAATCTAGGAGGCTCGATTGACCCCAACTATCATTGAAATCTTTAATTTTAGTGTTTACGTCTTCTCGATTGACGATTAGATTCTTGGCGAGAAGAATAGAAAGGGTTGAACAGAACATGAGAGCTCTAGACTTATCAGACGGGTTGCGGAATCTTTTTATTGGTTACGAACGACTTATCTCATGAGGCTTGAAGTGAACGAAAAAATTGTCAATCACCAAAGGTATGTCGTTTGTAACTAATAATCTTTGACTTTTTCAAGGGATGGGTCAATTTTGAATGAGAACAAAAATAGTTCAGAGTTTTCCGATTTGTTTGAAAGTTTCAGAACATGCTAAACAGAACTAGATCTCCATTTTTGTTATTTACAACTTTTTTGTACAATTCAAGGATATGACGGTGCACTTCATTGTCCTCAGTTCAACAACTTCTGCGCCTACCTTGTCAATATGGAAATTGATACTGCCGGATGAATTATATCGAGAGATAATGATTTGAAATCTCTTTTTTTGTTTTTAGTGATGATGTGATTTAAAAAACCCCTACTTAGTGTACTAACACAGCTGTTACATAATTCTGCTGATTTACTTAAAGACGGGGATGAACCTGGATTGAGTTTGTACTTTCACATTTTTATCATAGAGGCTATCACATCGTGAATGCTCCAGAAATTGTGACAGATAAAATATTAAAAACAAAGAAAAATAAAAATCTGTTTATTTTGTCCCGATTTCAGCAAACTTATTATGAGCGTGATGACTCATGTTTCGCTGAAAGTGTTATTGAAGGAGCGGTGAGTGAATTATAGTATGTCGTATTAGGTTGAACAGAAAGTTTCTTCCTTTTTTGACAACATTTTTGGACAAATTTTTCTCAAAGCCGAGTTTCGTGGGCAATATCACTGATACCGTCACGAAGGGTTAACCGGCGTTAACTGATGAATGAACGACTACGACAAACCGAGCGTGTGAAGACAGTTGAAATGTGCACCTGTTACAAAGATAGAGAGAAACAAAATACAATGTTTTAATATATTATGAGTTTATTGAGAGGGTGATGGAGAGAGAAAATAGCTCACGGAAGAGCGAAGTGAGGCGAGATGAAACAAGGGAGGGAAACGTTGGTAAGTGAAAACCAACGTTTTAGAAGGAGAAGGGCGATTAGAATATAGGGAAATTTATTATCTAATGATAGAGAATTAAGAGGAGAAGGTGAAGCAATAAGAGTTAATTAGAAACTAAGAGAGATAAAAAAGTTATGAAGCGAAAACTAAGAATTTAAGGGAAAAGTGAGCAAGTTATAAAGAGAGCTACAAGACGGAAAGTTAGGGAACAAGTAAAGGTTTAAGGGGAATAAAAGGGATAACAAATAAGGAATTTAGGAACGAGATTTAGATGAAAGGCTACCAAAAGAACAAAGTTATGACCAATTCTAGATTGGGCCTAAAAGACAAAATATAGAATAAAAGGAGAGTGAGAGAACAAACGAAAGGGGACGCGCAGACAATGAGGAGGGTTGCAGTTAAGGGGGAAACAAAATAAAGAAGAGGAAAACAAGTTAGATAAAGATTATAAAAGAAACAAAACGACGTCATCGGAACGTAGCGAAGCAAAAACGGTCAGAGCCGGAACCAAGTGAAGGAGACGCCGCAAATTCCGGGGAAAGAAAAAACCGGGCAAAAAAAATCGGAGTCGGGGGCGGAGCCTAAAATGCAACCCTGGCACGGTTTTGCCGCAGGGTTTTTCTGCACATTTGGACACGGTCATGAGGGGGCGGAGCCTAAATTACAACCCTGGCACGGTTTTGCCGCACGGTTTTTCTCGACTCCGCCCACTTTCCCCGGTTTTTTTCCTCGATTTTTTCCCCGGAATTTGCGGGGTCTCAAGTGAAGTCAACGTAGTCGGCAAGCGTGCTCCTCTGATAACAGTCATCATTCCTTGGGCGGCAGTTTGAAATCCGGAACCGTAGTATAGTTAGGTCGATTGGAGGGCAATGGGGAGTGCTTGGACCAGTAGGGGACGTTGGGGGAGAATTTATCCCGCTCTGTTTGATAATTAGAAAGAATCGTGGAACATGTGATGTTTCACGACACCGAGAAACTAGATAAATGAAAACAACGTCCATGAGCATTAATAGTTTTCTGCCAACGCTCTGGTAATTTATTGATTACATCGGCCCAGAACGAGGAAAGCTGTGGTGGAAAAGGTGGGTCAAATCCGTTTTGGTGTCATCCTATCATGTGAAGTCGTTTCAATCAAGATTACGTTTAAGAGCCTCAAACGGCCATCTATCTGAAAGAGTAAGGTCCGGAGAATACGATGGGTGCGAAAAAAAATAATACAGCCGAACGACATTAATTTTTGGTTGATCTCTCTAATCAATGGTGATTTCGCATTGTCGCGCTGAAAGGGAACCTTGGTTTTTTCTCCTCGTTTTGATTTGACTGCCACATTCTAATTATGAACTCTACGAGACGGCATTTATAGTGGTACACTCATCTAAAAGTTCCCAGTCTCCATTCTTTTGAAAGACCACCAAATACATAGCATCCCCCTTTTCACGTAAAATTTAGGTTTTCGTATATTGCTTGCAACTTGAGCTAACTCTTCAAAAGTTTTTTTTCTATGTTTTTTAAAGCAACGGTTTCTTAAATGAAAACATTTTGGAAAAATAAAAAGATGTTAAAATTCCAAAGAAATTACCAGCCAGAACACTTGAGTTCTTCGACTTAAATGACCACCAAATTTTAGTAAAAGCGAGTGATTCCAAATTATTCCATCAGATTTTCAAAATTGACCAAAAATTCATTGAATTGTGCGTTTTCAAAACCTTTCTGACCGGCCCACGATCCAAGGGTACATCGAAAAAGGGTACATCGAGGGTATATCGAGTTCTTAGGGTACATTGGTTCTGAGGGTACATGGGATCTTAGACTGTAAGGCGTTTTAGCCAGCCTATAATTTTGAGCAGAAATCAAAATAGTATGTATAAAAATATTGATTTACTTTTTTTGTCCACCTACATGTACCGAACAATCCAATGTACCCTTGGAACTCGATGTACCCTTTTTCGATGTACCCTTGGATACTGGGCCTTTCTGACCATATTATGAAACAAATTCTCTCGCAAAAAAATCTTGAACATTTTTGATTTTTAAGTTTTATTTTGTATAAAAATGATATAATAAAAAAGAGAGATCGAATAGAAAAGATAAGTTTGGGAAAAAAGAAATTGAAGGAACAATGAACAAATGAAAAAAAAGGAGAATAGTATTAGTGGCCAATGAAGGAGAGGTACTTTGAAATGCAACTTCATTATAGTTCGATGTGGTCTCCAAAACATGCCGCGAAATGTTTTTTGAAATTGGGATACGTCTGAAGTAAGCGTGTGATATCATGTCCAGTGCGGGTGGTGCCAGGGTGATGATCGGTATAGTGATTTCGATTCCTTTGGAATGATCCACACCGGAAACCGCATACATTACAATCCCAAAATGCATCAAATTGGTTTTTCGAGTGAATGAATGCGTGGAGAACGAACTGATACCTGCCCGCTTTTCTAGAAAATTTGATTTTTCTGGTGCAGCACTGAAAAATTCAAAGATTATGAAAATTAGATTATATATAAAAACTTACCTCGTTTTGGCAGGGAACCATTGTTCCGCACGCGGGTTTGCGAAGTTCGGCCGGCTTTTGAGTGGGATTTCTTCTCGTCTTCTGAACCTTTTGAGCTTTGAATTTGACTGAAATGGGGCGTCTCGCAATTCGTGTCGATTTTCTTCCGATGTCTTTATTTTCCTTTTCATTATCTTCAAGTACCACGTCCATTGTCCCTGATATTTTCACTTGGGGTCTCCTCGAATTCCATTTCTTCGACCGGCTCCTTTTCCTTCAACGTGACTTTTCCTTCTATTGTGATTAAGTAGAGCTTCGTACTTTCGGTTTTCCAGCCCGTGTTCTCCTCGACGACTTCCAGCTGCTTCTCTTTCACACTTCTGACTTTGCAAATCTTGAACAATTCATCTGAAAATTGAAGTTTTTGATTATTTGTCAAACTCAAATCGGTTTACCTTTTTTGTTGACACGCGTGTCAAATTTAACATTTCTCGTTGCGAAAAATGGTTCCGTGCTCACAATTTGGGTGGACTCGTGGCATTTTTGGAAAATGGATTTCAAATGAGTGTTCAATTTACGAAATTCGATATTATTAGCAAAAATGAAAGTTGATGACGTGACCATTGAGTGGTTCTTTTCTTCTGTTACATCTCCATACTCAATTTTGATGTTTCCGTGCCGCTTCCCGAAAAACTTCATCAGACTTTTGAAGAATTGAAGATCTAAAACACCAGCATCATAGAAACAGAAGGATGATCTCACAAGACTGATCAGAAAAATTAGATTAGGCACTCTTTTCTGCATTCAAAAGTGTTTTTGGAGTTATTAAATTGGTACTAAAGTTTGCAGATCTGGAAGAGAAACGGTGGTGGCCGTTGTCAGCATCTCGTAACCTTAAAATGCTTCTGTTTTCAAAATATGCTTTTTTTTGGTTTCTTACTGCTTTTGACCGATTTTTCTGTTACTTTTTCCTACGAATATGTTGAAAATGAAATTTTGATAGTGAAAAATTGTTTTTAAAAAAATTTGTATGTTATGCTGATTTTCAAGACGGCCACCGACGTTTCTCTCCCTAAAAACTCCTTTCTCATTATTTTTGACAAAAGAAGCGTTAGTATTTTTGGAATTACTTAAAAAACATTTTAAACCAATATTTTGGAAAGAAAATTTACTACAAAACATGTATAGTCGACCACAGAACCAATAGTCATGTTATTCATGAATATGGCAAAAAGATGCTTTGCGAATTCAGTTAGATTTTTTTCAAAATTTTGGAAACATTGGTTTTCTGCTCTACGAGCAACCCATGAGCTGAGAAGCTCAGGGCACCATAAACATTAAGCGCTCGGTATTCAGGTAAAAGTCCGATATAGACGGACAAACATACACACAAAAAAACTTACTTGTAGAATGGATTGAATAAATCGCAAAGGAAAGCCAAAGTTTGTCCAACTACTACTTGACGTTCTTCTTTGTTTCTCCTATTGGAGTATTCGTTGGATTCCATAACTTTCGAATCGTAATCTTCGAACTCCAATTTGAACTGAAAACTTCAATTAACAGCAGTTTCTGTATGGTAGTAAGTATTGAAATTCGACCAATTACTCTATCGAACTATAAAATCTATCGAACTATAAAAACGTACGGTTGTGATTATATCCGTAATGGATTTGAACTCGACTGGCAATTCAGAATTGAAGTTATTCTGGCGGTCCAAGAAGTCTTTCTTGATAACCTCCTCAAGGACGGCAGGGAGGCGGAAAACTGGATATTTTTCCAGTGGCAGAGGTTCCGGAATTCTGGTTCTCCAAATTTTGGTTTGTGATTGAATTCCAGAATTGAGATCTTGGGCTTCTGCTTCGATTTTTGGGGTACCGTTTTGTTGTGAGGACATAATTCAGTGTTCCGTTTTTCTGGAAAATATATATTTTTCGTATTGAAAGACAGAACGATAAAATAAAGCAATAAAAGGGGTTAGCCGAAAAAAGTCTATTGTAGAAAGATTTTTTCGATAAAGTGTCAAGGAATCTTGAATTCTAACTCTAAAAAAATAGAAAAATTTTGCTCAAAAGTGATTTTTCAAAAGTGAAACAAGAAAATTGTGTACGAAATTCAATAGTTTTTCACGCACTGTTTTTCTTTTTAGTAAAAAGCTTAGTTTACAGAAAAAAAAAAGAATGAGAGGAGGCTGACTCTCACACAGTCCCTCGCCTTCTGCTCGATTTGAACATAGATTTGGTGGCGAAATAGAGAAGGAAAGAAGAGAGCGAATGGTGAGAAGGGAGCGAATACCGAAATAGCGAGGGACGGTGCGTTTTTGTGGGGATAATTGATTTCTGGCTAATACACATCGTTTTGAATAAGACGCTCTCACTCAGAATCATTGTTCTGTGTGTGAGCGTAGAGGAGTGGGGAGGAGATGGCAGGAAAACGACTGTCGTCCAAAGGAGACGGGGAGGGAAGGTGGTACAGAACGAATACAAAGGGTCGCATGGAGAGGCTAGCTAACAACTGGATGGAGGAGGCGCACGTTGCGTATGTAAACCTAAATTGAAACCATGTCGAGCAAAATGTCCTAGAAACCCTAACGAATTCAAGAGGATCCTTGGAATGTGCTGCTTCCAATATTTTTAAAGGTGGGGGGACATGAAAACAAATAATGTTCTCGAAATTTCTTTCAAAGATGCCCCTCGAGGAGTTGAACTTGTGAGGGTGAGGATTGAGGGTGCGGCGCCGCTACCGACTGAGCCACGCGGGCAAAGAAAACGCGGACGCCCGATTGCATACATAAAGGCGAGGACGACAGCTGTACGCAGAGTGACATTAAGCGTTGTACACTGTGACGGTAGAATGCATACTCTAGCTACAAAAAAACTACGAAAAATCTCCTGTCCCCCACCTTTAAATTAAGTCATTTTTTAAGTTTTGGACTAAATATTGAATAACTTGGCTCCCGGGTAAGATTTCAAGCTGAAAAAGATAGGAAATTATTAAGAAATGATTGTGATCATGATGCCAGTGTTCAAGGCTTTTTTGAGCTCTGGGAATTTATTATTGAGTTCGAGTTTTGAACAGAAAAAATGTACTCAATTGAAAAATTTTCAAAGCTGTCTGAAATGTTTCAAAGTTGCTCTAAGTGTTTGAAGTCGCTATGAAAATTGTTACTTTGTGCTAAAAATTAAATTTGAATCGGGTAAATCAAGTTTTTACAAAAATCAGAATCTCCGAATTTCAAGATGCATTTTTCGAATTTCAGTTCAGCTTCAATCACAAACAACGGCTCAGAATAGCATAACAAGAGTTAATACATAATTTAGACTATTGCAAAAGTAATTCCTATCATTTTCAGCTCAAAATCTTACCCAGAAGCCAAGTTATTCAATATTTATTCCAAAAACCCAAAAAATGACGAAAATGACGGAAAATAATTGTTTCTAAAACTTGATTGGAGGAATCAGTTTTTGTATAGACTGTGAAAATATGCTGTTTTAAGACTATTTTAGTAGTTCCCAACCAAAAAAAGTTCAATTTTGCTCTCTAAAACACTTGAGATTTTTCATTTTCCAGGGTGTCGAAAGATATTGACCGCTTGCATATTTGTTTTTCGGATGGTACATGTTCAGGGAAAGTGCTAAATTTATAAAACTTTGTCTGTAGAGATTATTTTTGATTGTGAATTGAATTGCGTTGACCGTTTTTTGATATCTCTTCCAGTTTTTTCTGTGCGCCCAAAATAGGGGGGGGGGGTGTCGTATAGATGTTGACCGCACTGTAATGTCATAATTATTTAAATTCAGACTCTTGCACTGTTTCAATTCTTCACACCAAAAAACCATACTTGCAACGGGCCAGGCCGGGCCGGGCTTTTTTCAGAATTTTCAGGGCTCGGCTGGTCTCGGCCCGGATTTTCGGAAAAAGTTTTCTGTCTTTCAAAATTATTTTTGGGATCAACAGAAAAAAAGGAGAATTTTTCTGACAAGAAAAACATTTTCGGGCCGGGCCCTGAAAATCCTCGGCCCGGCCCGGGTCCTAGAAATCTTCGGCCCGGCCTGACCCGCGGGCCGGGCCCTGATTTTGCAGGTATGCAAAAAAACAAAATCTAATTTCATTTGAAATGTTCTAACACTACGAAGTGGACTCTTTTCTTGAAAATAGTCAAAATGTGATTATTGGTTACGAACGACTTTAAAAAAAATTTTGTTCATATAAGCCTTTTGAGGAGTTGAGCTTGCGGGATGAATATTGAAGGCGCGGCTTCACTGATCTACGAATTAGCGAAGAGCTATGGCTCAGGGGTTCCCTACTTTTAAGATAATCTTAGATTCTCAAATTTTGAAACTTACGCGATCCAAAAGAAGAGATCATTCTATCCATGGCTAGAACTGATTCAAAGTGAGAGTTCAAAGCTGGGTAGCTGGTAACCCACGTGGGATGATGCGAATTATTTTTTTCTGCTACGATCTAATTTTTTTGGATTGGGGTCACTTTAATTTTCAAGACACTTGTTCAAAATCGAGACGTGATTAGTGACATATATTTTTTGAACGAAAATTTTTTAACCGTCAAAAATAGGAATTTCCAGGTCAGCTGGTTCGAAGCTAACAGAAAACCCACACTTTTATAAAATGTATCTCGTTTTCTGTGAAAGATATCAAAAAGGAATCAACTGATAAAATGTTTATCATATCATCAGTAACATTTTATCAATGGAACACTTTTTTTATCTTTTACGGAAAGTGAGATAAATGTTGCCAAAGTACAGCACCTCAATTAGAGGTTTTATGAAAATTTTTGATTTCTAGCCAAGTGCAGAAAGAGAAAATACCATTAAAATTTATTTCCCAGATACCAAAAATTTATTGATGACTTTCAAAACATGAAAATAAAGTTCCAAGGTATTCAATCCGCCCACTCCGATTGTACTCCAATGGCGCGAAGCTGGAAATTTTGAAATTTGGGCTATAGACGTTTTGGAAGCTTCTAGAACCTTACCTCATCCCTATCCAACAAAAGATCCACGTGGACAGCTCGGAACACGGTATCTCGGCAGTCAATCATTGCTAAGCGATGACGTTCGGCCTGAAAAATTTGAGCATTGGAAATTTTGGAAATCGATTTTTTGGCACCAGCAGCAGAAACCTTCTGCAAAACCAACAAGATGAAACCGTACCATTTTTAAATCTCCAGCTTCTAACGCTCGACTTCTTCTTGTTGCCAAATCTTCAATTCTAGCTTCATATTCATCGATTCTTTGAATTGCTCGAAGACAAACTGTTGCTTGAATTGTTTTCCCATCGAAATTCGCTTTTTCCATTTTTTGCTCCAAAACTCTTCGAATCGTTCGAATTGAGGTGAGAGGGTCTTCACTGAGATTCGTCTTCTCTTTCATTGACATTCCGTCGCCTTCGCTGAAAGTTTATTACAATGGAGGGGGTTTCTCGTGCCATTTTTAGGTCCAAAAGCCACCATTTATAATTGTGGACCATTTTTAAAATGGATTTTAAGCCATTATCATAATTTTCGATATGGGACATCTGAACCTACAGACACACAAAAAACGAAAATCGAAATATGTCAATTTTACAAAATTTCCACTTTTTTTAAACGTGACCTAAAAACATTTAGGTCACGACCTAAAAAAATTGGGTGATGACTTGAAAAAATCTAAGTCGTGACCGAAAAAATTGAGCCATGACCTAAAAAAAATCTAGGTCCTAACCTAAAAAAATCTAGGCCATGGCCTAAAATAATCTAGGTCATGACATTAACAAATCTAGGTCATGACCTGAAAAATTCGGTCATGACTAGGCACCGCAACGCGAGGGGGCGGAGCCTAATTTTTTTTCTCTTGGGGGGGGGGGTATCTGGCATGTTTGAAGGCGTAGAACTCGAGACTGGATGGACCGATTTTTATGAAATTTGGTCTCGTTATGTAAAAAAACACGTAGAATCGACTGATGTAAAGCGTTTGCGTTGAAAACCAACGACTTTCAAAATACTCGTGAAAAACAGAAATCGACATGAGAAATTTGGTCTGAAAAGTGTAATAAAAGTCGATGTCGCTTCTTTTTATTATTGTTCTAAATACTTTTTTAGATGGTGAATAAGATGCATTAAGCCATATTTAGCCAGCAGTTCCCCCATTTTTGCAGTAATCCATCAAACTTCAAGCAAAAATTGTGAATTTTTTTCAGCGATGACCCCATGTTTTTAATATCAAAACACTTAGATCAATTCTATGACTGTTCAGATATGCAATTTGATGACATTTGAAAAAGTTTGAGCTAGCAAAAAACGCATCCAAAGATGACATGGTTCTAAAATTTAGACGTTTTTGCGAATTTTGACGGTAATGCAGGTCGATGTCGCAGATTTTTATTACATATTCAGATTCTACGAAAAATTTGCTACAATATACATGTTCGAGTTTACTTCTACCTGTTCCCCCATTTTTTTAATATCTCAATTTCCACCTAAAAATGTGAATAAAATGTGTTCAAATCGTTGTTTAGAAAAGAGAGGCAGCGCGTGCTTCATATCAGCCTTTCAATACGCCAACTGTCAGCGCGCGCATGGAGTAGTGGGTAGTGTTTCGGGACGGCGCGCCACCGGCCATGGTTCGATTCCTTGCTGTATCAAAAGTCTTTTTTCAGTGGTTTTCCAAACTTTGTGCAACTTTACGTAACGGTGTATGCACTGAAAACCAATGTTCTTACGACTTACAGTAAATTATTGATTTTTTTTTAAATTAATTGTTTTTGAACATATAATTATACCTCTAATCTATAATGGATAGCGGAAGTGACGTTGAACCACCTCCTAAAGTATCGAAAACAGGTAAGAATACTATTTTGGACTCATTTCCAATTAAATTTTCCAGAAATTTTGACACCTTCTCGAGCTCAGAAACTCAAGGAACTTCCGATACATATCGACTTCGATCATTTTCAGAAGTCGATCGATGACGGAACATTCCAATTTTCTTGATTTCTTCTTTTTATTATTAGTTTCTGATTCCTTTCCTTCGTTAGTTCAGTAGTTTGTTTTGTAGTTCTTTGTTTTCTGGTGATTTTCAGGTAGAAAAGTGACGAGCGATGCGAACAATCGAAGTTTCAATGGCATTCGCATATTTTTTAAATCATCTGTTTCTCAAAAATCCAGAGTCTATAATTTTTTAAACAAAATTTCAATTTATAAAACACGAATGCCATCATCGATCGTTCTTCTCTGCTTCTGATCGCTCGCATCGCTCGATACTTCACTAATTTCCGTGTTTTCTACCTGAAAATCAGTAAAATTTAATCATAGTCGTAATAAAAATTGTTTCTCAAACTCATTCTGTTTTTTTACATCTCCATTTTACTATATTTCGACATGCCGGCTGACGAAAACCAATTGAAACTCTTCACAGCGCTATGAAAAACATCACAGCAATAAATCGGGAATTTTCTGCGCCGCACGTTTGCAAAAGGCGTCGCCCCGCCCACCTTGCCCCGCCCACTTTTCCGTGCCCACTGCAACCCCCTCAGAGAAAATGGATGAAAAAGGGGGTTACAACAAAGGGTGTATCTCGAGAACGGATGAACATTTTCGAAAAAAAATTCGGAATTATACTAATATTGATATGGTGAATACGATAATATAAACAATTCTCAGGAAAAATGAGTTTGAAAAAATCGTTGTGGTGCCTAGTCATGACCTAAAAAATCTAGGTCATGACCTAAAAAAATTTGGTCATGACCTAAAAAATCTAGGTCATGACCTAAAAAAATTTGGTCATGACCTAAAAAATCTAGGAAAAAAATCTAGGTCATGACTTAAAAAAATCTAGGTCATGACCCAAAAATCTAGGTCATGACATTAACAAATCTAGGTCATGACCTAAAAAATCTCGGTCATGACCTGAAAAAATTCGGTCATGACCTAAAAAGTCTAGGCCATGACCTAAAAAAATTTGGTCATGACCTAAAAATCTAGGAAAAAAATCTAGGTCATGACTTAAAAAAATCTAGGTCATGACCCAAAAATCTAGGTCATGACCTAGAAAAAGTAGGTCACGACCTAAAAAAAGTAGGTCATGACCTTTTTTGAAAATTTCAGAATTTCCTTGAAAAATTTCCAAAACTCACTAGCTATGTCTTTCAATTTTCTTCTCCTTCTTTGGCACTCCTTTCGATTCTAATTCCAAATTTTCCATTTTCAAGTTCGCCACGTCCTCATCATTTTGTTCCAATTTCGGAGATTCTGGAACCGGCGTCCCTCTCGGAAGCTCTTCTGGAAGTGGATATCCCAAAACAGTCAATTTTTTGATTTCAATTTGATTATGAGGATTTTGTGATAATGGAATTGGTTTTTCGATGGTTATCCAGATGTATTGGCCGACGGCGTCAGTGAATGCGTTTCTGGAATATTTAGGATCACGAGATTTTGAGATTTTGAGATCCTAAGATTCTGAGATTCGAGGCTCAACTTCTTGAACTTTTAGAATTTTCAAAATGTCCTGATTTTTCTAATTCTGAATTCCCAAATATTCCAGTTCTCAACTCCCCCCACTCACTTGCTCTCCAGACGACTCACAGATCGTTCTCTTCGATGAAATTCCAAAATCACTGGTTTTTGAAATTTCGAAGTTCGCGCATTTTTATAGTTCACCTCCTCATTCAATTTTCCTTGTCCAACACGAATGGTTACTTTGGATGCTGGAAATTAATAGAAAAATTTTTAAAAAATGAGCTTAGACTGATAAAATTATGCTTCAAGCTTTATGAAAATTAACAAAAAATTAGAAAGAAATTGATTAAAAATTTCAAGAAAAAACTTGTTGGAGTTCCTAATTTTATATCATATTTGGAAATAGTAAACCTCAATTTCAAAATCGTGAGTTTTTTTTTCTGATTTTCAGTTTCTTCTGACCATGACCAAAACTCAAGAAAACTGAAATATAAATCCGAAAGAGAGACTATAAAAAATCATACGTGTCAAATATTCATCAGCATCGATGACGACTTTATAGACATTCGCAATCTGTCTAGACCAATAACGATGTCCATTGGGAATGAGTCGCTGAAAAATATTCAAAAATTTTTATTCTACAAAAATTATTTGATAACTTGAAAAACATTGAAAATTTTTCTTCAATATTGAATTACTTCAATATAACTGTTTTTGAAAATCCCAGCATTTTTCTAGAGGTAGCCTAGAATGTTCAGTTTTTCCGGGAATTCAATATAAAGGTTCTAGAACCGTCTAGCAATTTTTTGAAGGTTTAAATATTCCTTTATGATATCTTCCTTATATATAAAACGCTAGAGGCGTCTGTCGGTCATAATGTCTGTCTGTCAACTTTTGAAAAACTTGAAAAATAAATATAGATTTACGTGACCCATTTAGCAAAAGGGAAGAGCGAAGCTACGAACCAGTAAAAAACTAGATTGAATCGCGCTGAAGGCGCACCAGCTTGCTGGTGCCTACATAAAAAATAATTTTAGTATTTTTTTTTAAAGCTCTAATATCAGAAAGACTTCAACAATCAATCAATATAAAAGAAACATACCCAGGCGGAGTTCGAAATCGTCCTCCATTGAATTCCGCTGGATAATGGGTCCCCAAAACCAGAGTTTTCCAGTAGAGCTCTCTAAGAGCAACTCCTTTTCGAGATTCTGTCATTTTGAGGTCCAACAGACACACAGATGCAGAATCTGGAATGAAGGGCCCATACTCCGAGGGTACATCGAAAAAGGGTACATCACTCTTATAGGGTACATTGACTCAGAGGGTACATTGACTGATAGGGTACATCTGTGGAGGA